CATGGCTGGGCTTTCTGTGCTGCTCCAGTGTCCCATGGAGTTTCAAGTAGCTGAGGACACTTTTACATTATAAATAATCCACGTTAATTTCATTTGGTGCATTTTTATTTCTTAACTTCATCAGAAAACAGCACAATTGTCGTGAAAAAAAAATAAATCAAGTTATGCCTTAATAAATAACTATTAATGAGAACGCTAAGAAAAAATTGTGGCCAGGAGCCTCAGTTTGACATAAGCTACTCCAGCCTGAAGGATTCCAGCTGGAAAAACCCAGTTTAAAATTCTTACACTTCCTCCATTTCATGTGCACTCAGCAATGCTTATGCAGCTCAGATAATCCGTGCCTGTACTTTATGTATGGCGTGGCAAATGCCAGCAGTGTATGGAAAACAGGATCTAGCCTGCAGCAGAGCAGCCAGAACGGGATGAAGGGAGCTCAGCAGCACCTGAGCCTCGGGCTGAGCTCTCCCAGTGCAAACAGCACCCTCCAGCAGTCAGGAAAACCTCTGCAGTGGCTTGAGGGGGACAGGAGCACCCCCTGCATCCAAATGGGGACCCCTTGTAGTGAGGCTGAGCTGTTGATACAGCAAGAGAGGTCGTGGTCCCTAAAACACCCCTGGGACAATGTGACAGAGATTTAACAGACATAGTCTCTTCCAGAGAAGGGCTAGAGGTAAATTCCAGCTGATGATTCTGTTTCTCTGCCCGTGTTTGATAAATTAATTAAGGAACAGAGAGGGAATAAGAAAAGTGAAGCCTCATAAACTGCTTCACTAACTGCTGCACAGAGAAGACTCTCAATTCTCATTTTCCTCTATCAACATTTTCAAAAATACTAACATTTCTTTTTCTTGTTAAATAATTTCTAAGATAGAATCCCAAGAATATTTGAAAGGGAGAGGGGAACCTCAATATTAAATATGAAGACACTGTGCAGTATGGAAATCTCATGGGGACAAGGAGAGGGGTCATCAGGGCAGGGAAGGAGGTTAAGCTGAGCTTTGAGCCCAGTCTAATGGCATGAGCCTCTTGCAGCCTGTGCAGCTGGGAGTGTTTCTGCCCAGGGCCACTCTCTGTGTGCTGGAGAGCTCAGCTCTGTGTCCTGCACAGCCCAGCACCCTGGCCTTCCCTAAATTCCAGGATTCCCATCTTCCACTGAGGAACACAGCAGGGAGAGCCATGGGATATTCCTTCTGAGCTCTGGGCCTGTCCCTGGAGCACAGGCTGGCAGCTCTGCCAGCCAGGAGATCCCAGCAGGGATCAATGACCCCATCAGGGAGCAGCACACCCTGCTGGGGCCCCCTCTGCCACCCTGGGCTTCCCACAGCTTCTCCTGCCCTGGAGCTGGCAGCTGGAGGCCATCCCTGACTGCCCAGCAGGGCTTTTGGGCAGAAATGAAGCTGGAGCTGTGTCTGAACCCTCCCAACACTCAGACCCAGCACCCCAAACTCCTCCTGTCCTTAACAACCCCAGCGAGCTGGGAAGCAGCTTCCATTTGCAATAATTACAGCAGAGCTTCCCTCCCCCTTGCACTCTTTATTGCTTTTGCCCTTGCCATGGATTGCTGGGGACAGAGAGACTATTAAAGCTCAGAATATTTCTTTCTAGACAGTCAGGGCGAGCTTTGGGAGAAAACTCCCTCTTTTCTCTCCACCACTGCCACTTCTGCTGGGAAGGGAAGGGAAGGGCAGGGAGGGGAAGGGGATGGTTCCCACTGCAGGCTGCTGGAGCACTCCGTGCCTGCTGAGCAGTGACTGCAGCAGGGGAACGCTCTCCTCTGGTGGAAACAGAACCTTGTTAGGATAATTCTGCAAGGTACAATAATTGCCCAAGCAGCCACCTCTAAGTTGGGTCTCCCTCCCTTATTCTCACAATAAGGGGGGAAAGGTGCATTTCAGTGATGACAGCTGAGGCTGGCATGAGGCAGCCAAAGGGCACCTGCCAGCTCCCACCCTGCTGACAGCACCCCCACAGCTCCAGGATGGGCTTTGGCAAGGAGATGGCTCGCTTGCCAATAATAATAATTATCATTAATAATCGAGTGACGTCCTAATCTTGGTTACATCAGCCGTAGCCTTCCCCGGAGCTGCTGCCAGTTGCACTCACACCGGTCTCCGAGCAGAGACGCGGGCCGGGAGCTGCCGTGGCTGGAGGGAGATGCAGGGGATGGCCCGCGGTGACTTCTGCCTGCTGGCAGAGGGGACAAGGGGACATGGCCTGGACAAACCCTGCGAGAGCCGCCTCTCTGTGTCGATTTGAGTCTCCTCAGCCCTCTGAGGGGCATAAAGGATGGGAAGGGAGGTGCGGGACCGTCCCTTCCCTCCTCCTCCTCCTCCCCCGGGGCATCCCGCGGGGCTGTCCCGTGTCACAGCCGGGCAGGGGCACAGGGGTGTCCGTGTGTCCCGGGGCGGCTCCTGCCTGCGGGGGGACCCGGCGGGATGTCCGTCCGTGCCCGCAGCGCTCCCCGCTCCGCATCCCATGGCCATCCCTCCCCTCTGCCAGCCCCTCCGCACAACCCGACGGCAGCAGCCCTGGCGAGGAAAACGAGCGATATTCGGGGGCGTTTGGGAAAGATGCAAGGTCAGGGATCCCCCGCGCACCCCGACCCTGCCCCACGGGCGGCATCCATGGGGAAGGGGCGCTGCCCCCCAAACCCAGCGGGGTTTGCTCCCTTAGGTCGCTTTCCTGAGTTGCTGCCAAGCCGGCCGTGCGAGCTTGTTGCGAGAACAAACTGTTGTGATTCCCCCTTTGGCCCTTTTTCCCCGCCTCCCCCCCGTTCCGAACGGGGGGTGTCAGTGCACGGAGCCTGCCGAACCCCATGTCGCTCCCGCGTCAGAAAATGAATGATGCAGCAATTTAATTAGGAGGGAGCGGTGCGTCCATATTGCACCGGTGGAGGAGAGCTCGGCAGCCGGGCGAAGATGCTGCGCGTCCGCGGGCGCGGAGGCTGCGCCCCTGCCCGCGCAGAGCGGCCCCGGGGCGGCGGGACCCCGCGGAGCCCCCGGCTCCTCCCGCCCGCACCCGCGGCTCTGCCCCTGAACTTTTCTCTCCCGAGCCGCGGTTCCAGTTAAGTCTCTCCCGGCCGAGCCACCGCGGGGTGCGGGAGGGGGATCCGCGTTCCGCGCGGAGCGGGGGGTGCGGGACGCCCCGGGAGATCCGCGGGGATCCGCGCGGATGTGTGCGCGGGGCCGGGCGGGCGCTGTGCGCGCAGGGATGCGCAGGGCTGTGCGCGGGTGCGGACGGCGGGGATGCGCGGAGCAGCGCGGGGCTCGCCCCCTTCCCTGCCCGCAGCCCTTCCCTCCCGAGCCCCGGGGCAGGCAGAGCCCGCAGCCCCCCGAGCCCCCTGCGCACCTCACCCACCAACTTTCACCCGCTGCGCCCCCTCCGCGGATCCGCCGCGCCCCGCGCAGCCCCGTTACCTGCGGCGGCTCCCGGGGCGGGCGGGCACCGCGGGCGCGGCCCCTCCGCCTCCGCGCACACGCCGGGAGGATGCGGGAGGTGCCGGGAGTCTCCCCGAGGTGTTTGGCTCTGCGGGAAGCTGCGGGATCCCGGCGAGGCTCGGGGCGGGAGCGGCCCCGGGACGGGCGGGCAGCACCGAGCGGAGGAGGCGGTGGATGCGCGGGCAGCGGGGCGGCCGGAGCGGGACCCCCGGGCTGCTGGGACCCCCGGGCTGCTCCCCGCCACATCCCTCGGCTGGCACTCGCAGTCAGAGCAGCTCTGATTTCCTCCCGACTTGGGCTTTTTGTTCCCTGTTTTTCCCTCCGTTTTTTTTTTTTGGAAAGGGGAGTGGGGGGTGGGTGCAAATTCTGCCCCATCCCGGCGGCTGTTCCCTGTTTTTCCCCCCGTTTTTTTTTTTTTTTTGGAAAGGGGAGTGCGGGGGGGTGGGTGCAAATTCTGCTCCATCCCGGCGGCTTTTTTTCCCCTCTCTGATTCTTCTTTTTCCTCCCCCATCTGCCCGTTTCCCACTTCCCATCCTCTCCGCCATCCAGCCCCCTCCTTCCCTCTTAAAAAAAAAATAGGAGAGAAAAAAAAAAAAAAAAAAAAAAAGGATAGGGGGGAAAAAAAAGAAAAGGCAGGGGAAAAAACTGTGTAGTCAGGGCTTCCCAAATGCGCGCCCCCGACCTGAAGCCGAGCGCGCCCCCTCCGTTTGTTCCCCTTCTTGAAGCTGATTTTCATGACGTGGAGGAGCCTGATCCAGGGCAGGAGCGGCAGCGCACACACACACACGCGCGCACACACACTCACACACACGCACACGGCCCCGCAGCGCCCCGCACCCCGCGCACACCCGCGCACGCAGCGCACCCGCGCTCGCCGCCGCGCCCCGCCGCCCGCTCCGCGCTGCCGCTGCTGCCCGGAGAAGGCGGCGGCGGCGCTGGAGCCTGCAGCAGCCCCTCTCCTCCCTCCTCCATTGAGTGTGCCAAACAGCAGCTCTGCATCCTAAAAAGGATCATTGAGGGGCTCATTGCATTCCCAGCACGTTTCAGGCTTGCTTCTTTTTTTTTTTTTTTTTTTTTCCTCCCTTTTTTTTTTTTTTTTTTGGGGGTTTTTTTTTTTTTTTTTTTTTGGTTGGTTTTTTTTTTTTGGGTTTTTTTTGTTAGTTTGATTGTTTGTTGGTTTGTTCCTTTTGCCTCAGCTTCAGCAGGAGTAGAGAGAGAGGGAGAGAGAGCCACAGAGAGGGAGAGGCAGAGACAAACCAGCAATCTTTAAACTCGAGCTTTCTTTTTTTTCCCCCCTTCCTTTCTTTTGCCTTTTTTTTTTTTTTTTTTTTTTGGTAACGATGTGCTAAAATCTCTCCTGCAAACCGGTAAGTACAACCTTTCTGGATCCTTTTGTTTCCGCCTAGGGTCAAAGACACCCCCCTCTTCCAAAAAGAAGATATAATAATCCTCTTTATTTATTTTTTTATTTTTATTACAGCCCTTGCAGAAGAGAAAGAACTTAAGTGGCTAATATTTTGCAAAGGAGACAGAGAGATTGATACTGCAACATAGCTCTCGTCTCTCTCCCTTCTCCCCAGTTAGATGCTGGTTTTAATTGCAGAGGGTATTTCTCTTTTCGTGCTTTCAACCATCTCCTCTTTCCCACAGGGGAGGGTTTCATTTGCAAGTTGATCCTAAGGATTTCTGTTCCTCTGGCATTTCTCTCCCCTAAATGCATCTTTCTGCTCTTAAGTTTACGGATGGGGGGCAATTTTTTCTAGCTCTTACACGAGGAAGGCAAAAAGGACCTTTTTATTGGGAGATTGAGACTAAAAGCAATGATCGCTCCGAATCATTCTAATGGGCATTTCAGGGATTCAAGGAAGGCTGCATCACCACTGCTATTATTCCCATCCTTAGCGTTTCCCTGTGCCCATACATTTAAAATATCTGGTGAAAGGAAGGGTGAAACCATATGTTGAAGGAGCTGCATCTCATTAGGGCAGTATTATTTTCATCTGATTGGAGAAGAATGGTGTCTTCATTCGGAATCGTGTATAGTAGGATAGAGAATTTATCGGCTGGTAAGTGTCAAGGTATTTTTTTTGTTCCACTTTCAGCTTTTTTAACCGGGTCTCCTGCTTGGTCCTGGGGGCACAAAATGCCCTAATCCAAGGCAGGCTGAGCGTTTCAATCCTAGGTGCCTCTTCAGCTGTCACTTCCCTTTAGATCTGCTGATCGCATGGGCATGTGCTTTAGAAAGATTAATCATCTCTAAATGCTTTAATCAGCTAAAATGACTAATATGTGGTGTGTATTTATCTGATAATATACCAGTTGCATTAATTCACCGGCACATTTGCGAGGGGAAGATTTCCTTCCCAATCAGGGTCGTTAACCATTTACTCCGGTGAAGATACTGTGGGGGTTTCTGAGAGGAGCCGTTCTGCCAGGGACATCAGCACAGCTCTCACATTCCCTGGAACTCGCGTGTGGAACACATCGAGCCGGGAGGGAGGGAGATCGGAGGGCGGAGGTTCAATAACTTTGGGAGTTTGCATGGATGAAGGATGTGGTGCGACACTGGAGAAACGTGCCCACACTTGGTGTGTTTCCCCCCACCGGAATCGAGGCGGGCTGTGATGGCTCCCGGGCTAAAACTGCACCCGGGGATGAGATCCGGGCAGTTCCGAAGCCTGGGAAACGTGGAGAGACGCAACACGTTCGGTGTGCTCGTGGTGCCGTGTGGGGCTGCATGTGCTGTCCTCTTTATAGGTGGCATTTACCACGGGGAAGGGAGCGAGGCAGGCTGCTATCGCGTGATGGAGCCCTCTAACATCTCTCAAGTATAAATCAGGGCAAGGCTCGCCCAGCCGACACCCCTGGAGTTGGTTGGGAACGTCTGCCCAACAATTGCTGAACTTTCCAGGAGCCCGACATGAGTCCAGCAGGTAGGGGCTTAGGAAGAGGAGAGGGGCAGGGCAGAAATACTGAAATCTGTGTTTCTCTTCCCGTTGCAGTTTTGTAAACACCAACAAATGATGAAACCTTCCACGGCAGAGACGCTTCATAAAGGAAGGATGTTGTGGATAATTCTTCTAAGCACAATTGCTCTAGCATGGACTACACCTATTCCCTTGATAGAGGACTCGGAGGAACTGGATGAGCCCTGCTTTGATCCATGTTACTGTGAAGTGAAGGAGAGCCTTTTCCATATACATTGTGACAACAAGGGATTTATAAATATTAGTCAGATAACAGAGTCGTGGTCGAGACCTTTTAAACTTTATCTGCAGAGGAATTCCATGAGGAAATTGTACACCAACAGTTTTCTTCACTTGAACAATGCTGTGTCTATTAACCTTGGGAACAATGCACTGCAGGACATTCAGACGGGGGCTTTTAACGGGCTCCGAGTTCTGAAGAGGTTGTATTTGCACGAAAACAAATTGGACATTTTCAGGAACGACACTTTCCTGGGTTTGGAAAGTCTGGAATATCTGCAGGCAGATTACAATGTCATTAAACGGATTGAAAGCGGGGCATTTCGAAACCTAAGTAAATTGAGGGTCCTTATCCTAAATGACAATCTCATCCCCATGCTTCCCACCAATTTATTTAAGTCTGTGTCCTTAACCCACTTGGACTTGCGGGGGAACCGCCTCAAAGTCCTTTCGTACCGCGGGATGTTGGACCACATTGGCAGGAGCCTGATGGAGATCCAGCTGGAGGAGAACCCGTGGAACTGTACGTGCGAGATTGTGCAGCTCAAGAGCTGGCTGGAGCGCATCCCCTACACCGCTCTGGTGGGGGACATCACCTGCGAGACCCCCTTCCACTTCCACGGGAAGGACCTGCGGGAAATCAAGAGAAGCAAGCTCTGCCCCATGCTGTCTGACTCCGAGGTGGAAGCCAGCCTGGGCATCCCTCAGCTGTCCTCCAGCAAGGAGAACGCGTGGCCTACGAAGCCTTCCTCCATGCTGTCCTCCTTCCATTTCACCGCTTCTTCTGTTGAGTACAAAACGTCCAACAAGCAGCCCAAGCCCACCAAGCAGCCCCGGGCGCCCCGGCCTCCCCCGACCCCCCGTGGCCTGTACCCCGGGCCCAACCAACCTCCCGTGGCTGCCTACCAGACCCGGCCCCCCATCCCCATCATCTGCCCCACCGGCTGCTCTTGCAGTTTGCACATCAACGACCTGGGCCTGACGGTCAACTGCAAGGAGCGGGGATTCCACAACATCTCCGAGCTCCTGCCCAGGCCCTTGAACGCCAAGAAGCTGTACCTGAGCGGGAATTTGATCCAGAAAATCTACCGCTCCGATTTCTGGAATTTTTCCTCCTTGGATCTCTTACACCTGGGGAACAACCGGATCTCCTACGTGCAGGACGGGGCGTTCATCAACCTGCCGAACCTCAAGAGCCTGTACCTGAACGGGAACGACATCGAGCGGCTCACCCCGGGCATGTTCCGGGGCCTGCAGAGTTTGCATTACCTGTACTTCGAGTACAACCTGATCAGGGAAATCCAGCCGGCGGCCTTCAGCCTCATGCCCAACCTGAAGCTCCTCTTCCTCAACGACAACCTGCTCCGCACGCTGCCCACCGACGCCTTCGCCGGCACCTCCCTGGCGCGCCTCAACCTGCGCAACAACCACTTCTTGGCGCTGCCGGTGGCCGGGGTGCTGGAGCACCTGCACGCCATCGTGCAGATCGACCTGAAGCTCAACCCCTGGGACTGCACCTGCGAGCTGGTGCCGCTGAAGCAGTGGCTGGAGGCGCTCAGCTCCGTCAGCGTGGTGGGCGAGGTGCTGTGCGCCAGCCCCGAGCCGCTGGCCCGCCGCGACCTGCGCTCGCTGGAGGGGGGCGGCGGCGGCGGGGGGGGCCCCGGGGAGCGGTCCCCGGAGAAGGCGCCCCCGGCGGGCCACGTCTACGACTACATCCCGCACCCGGTGACCCAGATGTGCAACAACCCCATCTACAAGCCGCGGGAGGAGGAAGAGGCGGCGGGCGGCGGCGGCGGCGGCGAGGCGGCCGAGCTGCTGCGGGGCGGCGGCGAGCGCGGCTTCGCCCACCCCGCCGCCCCCGCCGCCGCGCCGGAGCCGGGCAGCAGCTACCGCACCTTGCTGGAGAAGGAGCAGGAGTGGAGCCTGGCCGTGTCCAGCTCGCAGCTCAACACCATCGTGGCCGTGCACCCCCAGCACCCCGCGGGCGGAGGGCTGGCGGCGGGCGCGCTCGGGGCGGCGGCGGCGGCGGCGGGGGGAGCCCCGCGGGACCGCGACCGCCCGCCGCCCTGCGCCGTGGGCTTCGTGGACTGCCTGTACGGCACCGTGCCCAAGCTGAAGGAACTGCACGTCCACCCCCCCGGCATGCAATACCCGGACCTGCAGCAGGACGCCAGGCTGAAGGAGACCCTGCTCTTCGCGGCCGGCAAGGGCTTCCCGGACCACCAAACCCCCACAAGCGAATACCTCGAGTTAAGGGCCAAACTCCAAACCAAGCCGGATTACCTCGAAGTCCTGGAGAAGACCACGTACCGGTTCTGACCGCCGCCCCGCCGCCCGCCCGGCCCCGCCGCCCGCGAGCAGAGGATACAGCTGTGCGCTCTGCCCCGCCAGATGTGCGCGCTGCGGGGCAGGGCCCTTCTCAGATCAGTAATCGACGAAGTGCCTTCGCAGACTTTTGCCAGCAGATGTTAATCAATCATTATTTTTTATACTGAAACTGAGACTTTGACTGTGCCATGTCTAAAGGTATATTATTATTATATTATTATTATTATTATTATCGGGGATCTTTGTATTGATCCTGATCAAGTAAATTCTATGTGTGTCTCTTTCTCTCTTTTTTCTTTTCCCTTTTCTTTTGTTTTCTTTATTGTTGTTTGTTTTGTTCGTTGGCTCTGTTTTTTTTTCCTTTTTAAATTTTTTTTCTTTTTCCGTCGGCAGTAAACTTCCTTGATATTTTCCCTTGGAGGGGAGGGGGAGGGAAGATGGCATTTTCTGGCCTGCTTTCTTCTTGCCCATCATGGCACAGATTCTGTACATTTATTTAAAAGAGGAAAAAAAAAATAATAATGCAAAGAAGCAAACGAGCGCAGTTTGCTGCATGCCTGGAAACTGCAAGAGGGAAGGGAGGGGAGGGTCTTGCTCGAATGTCTCACTCTTGTCTCTCTCCCTCCCTCGCACGCACACTCCTCACCCTCACCCTCCGCGCACCCCCCGCCAGCCCAGCCCCTCCAGGGGGGCTCGGGGGCCGCGGGGGGAATCCCGGGGGCAGTCCCGGGGGCTGGGGGAAGCCACCCGGAGCCGAGCAGCCCAAAGGATGTCAGCACGTGGCGCACACACCTAGGGGATGCTCAGTGACACTTCATCGTGACGCCATGGTTTTTTTTGGAGGACATCCGCACTTTCCTAATAAAAGCGACATGCAAATATACAGATTAAAAAAAAAAAAAAAAGGAAAAAAAACAAAAGCTAATGGGCACCTCTCACTAACAGCTTTGTAGGAAGCACTTTTAATGTTTTCTCTCATGCACCCATACACGCACACACGCACACACACACAAAGGTACAACAATGTGCATATATTTATTCTGTAATTTCAAGTGAATATAAATTGTAAAGGTAATGTTAAATCATTGTACAGTGATGCGTCTGGTATAGCTTTCCTAATAAAACGTTTTGAAAAAAAATGCATATATATATATATATATATATATACACCCCCAAATATATATATATATATAGGAATACAAAGCTTGAACCTGAAACTTCAGCTTCCTCCACAGAGATTTCCTTCCCCCCATAACCTTGAACGCTATTTTATTAATAACAGTTCGATGCACTGTGATGTTAACATAGAAAAAGAAAAAAAAAATCCTGTACAGCGTCTCTTGCCAAGATACCACCCGAGACTGTCACAAATCCGATTTGCGATCTGTATCCCTGCCGCACTGTCCTGACAGTTAAAAATATCGGGAAAATTGGGAGCGCATCCCGCCGGAGCGCTGCTTCCCGGCCTGCTGGAGGCACCGGGAGGCACCGCAGGGATGTTGCCGGTGCTGGCAGCGGGGTGAGCACTCAAAGAGCTCCCACCCCTCCGGATTAAACCGCATTTCCAGTTTGGAATGGGGGGATGCGGTCTGGGAAAGCAAAGCATCCCAGAGGCCGCGCCGCCCTTCTCCCGCTCCCGCGGCAAGCGGAGGGAGACCAAAGACCATGGTATTTCCCTGCCCGGGCGGGTCCCGGTTGGTATCTTGTCCACGTTGGTGTCTTGTCCCTGGCGGTGTCGCTCTGTCCCGCTGTCCCTCTGTCCCGGCGCTGTCCCCGCTGTTGTGTCCCCGCGGGTCCCGGGCCGGGCGCGGAGCGCGGCCCCTCGCGGCCGCCAGGTGGCGCCCCAGCCCCAGCGCTGAGGGGCGGCGGCGGGGCCGGAGCGCCCGGGCTCGATCCCGGGATTGATCCCGGGGTTGATCCCGGACCCGGTCCTGGACTCGATCCTGGATTCCATCCCGGCCTGAAGCCGTTCCCGACGCCGCTCCCCGTCTCCGTCCGCCCTGCCGAATGAACCCGCGGGCGCCTTAGCCAGGGACGGGCGAGGCCGCCAAGGGCAGCCCCCACAGCCGGGCGCTGCCCTGAGGGCCTTCAGAGAGTGGGGTCAGTCCAGAAATTCCCAGTGTGTCCATCAGCACCATTTGTCTGAACGGCGGTCAGGGTGGTTTATCCGGGTGAATCGAGGTTATTCCCCCAACGGTGCTGCTGGGAGCGCTCCTGCCGCTGTCCTGAGGGGACCGGGGTCTGTCACCTCCTGGCAAAGGGTCACTTTGCCAAGGTCACCCTCCCCACCACCTGCTCTTCCTTGGGGAACAGCTCGGTTTCACCCCGCACAATGTGTTTTAACAGAGATAAACCCATAAATATTTGTTCTCCCCACCATGTCGCTATTTATAGCTCCGGGCAGGATGCTCATGGTGAGCTTTTTCTCTTGGAGAGTCGTTTCCCCAGCCTTGGCAGCAGCTGTGCGTGTCTGGAGATGGAGGGACAGCTCCGAACCTCTGTAAATCTGGCATCACCCTCCATGCTATCAGTAAAAATATTACACATTGCAATTTTCTCTGTTGAGTTGAGGTTGTGTTTCCTCACTGCTGCCTTCAGCTCTGACCCGTTGGGGTTTGCTCATTTGTTTGTTTTGCTGAGTTTTTAATAGATAGTGGAAGAGCATGCACGTGCTAAGAGTATTAAACATGCAAGTGCAAAGGCCAGATCCTTCTTATCATAATTGTAATAATTACATTGATAAGCCTACATGCAAGTGATGCGTGGAGCTGTATAAATCAGGTTAAAGTACAACCCCCAGTGAGAGTGGTGCTGTATACATTTGGCAATGTCCTCAAAGCCCCAAGTGTTCATACTTGTATCCAAATAGAGTAAAGCCGGTTGCAAATAATGTTTATATTTTAATTAAACTGCAGAAAGGCAAGAGAATTTCATCCTTACTACAGGCAGTAATCTCACCTGTGGACGGTGAGCAGATCTATTTATTCAGTGGAAATAAATTTGTTCTATGAGAATGGAATTTTGTATTAAAAGAGATAATTTTTGGCTTACGTTGAGTTATTTTTCTTTCCTTGCGTAGGAAACTTCCTTTCTGTTGTGTACTGAGATGAGTTGGGGATGATTTGCTCTGGAAGTGTTGACAATGTCTAAGTGTGATGTCTAAAGGGTGTTTTGATGACTTTTATTTTGCTTTTTCATTGTGTTGAGCTGAGGCTGAGTGGGTAGCAGCATTCCTTTCTCATTGCAGGAAAAAAAAAAGTGGATCCATCATCTCTGACCTGCAGTGGGTGACACTTTGCATGCTCCAAGCCAGGTTCCTCCTAATTAATAGGGAGCATTAATGATAATTCTGTCTTTATCAGCAGTAGCATTGGTAGCCTTAATGCTACTGGGAAGGAATCAAATAAAGTCAAATGATCTGCAGTTGCATTGGAGCTGCTTGATGGGATGCTGTGTGAAATAAATATTTTTTTAGCTGATTTCATGGTTTAGCTGATTTCACCTGGTGTCAGCCTGAGCAGCTCAGCCTGTGGCAGTAAAACCTTCAGCAATTGTTTGGTTTATTCCCTCACTGACCATTGAAATTCTTCCTACAGGTGGAAAAGAACAGCAAGGCCAGGTAAGCCCCAGTCCCAGCCAACAGCTGCACGCAGGGAAATGGAAAGGATGATCCTGGTGCTCAATTATTGGTGCTTTTTGTGTTGTCTGGATGTTGTCATTGATGTCACCATCACATTGTACCCTAGGTTAAAAAATTTGTTTGGAAATGGCTTCATGGATCTCTTGAGTGTATCAACAGCCATAGAAAGATGTCAAATGTTACGGTATGAGTAATAATGTGAGTTTTGGAAAGTCTGTTGCCTACTGCTCTGGTTAGAGTGTTATTGAAGAGTGAGAATCTCATTCCTTAGGAGCTTCAGTGAACATGAGTTAAGCTGTGGCAGCTCCAGATTTTGCCAGAGACCTTTCCAGACAAAACCACCTTTGAATGTGGCAGCACAGCTGATTTGGTTTTAAGCTAGAAATGTGTGGGTTTGTCCAACTTGTTCTCTGAGAACTTTGAAAGGAGGGAAAGGTCTCTCCAAAATGTGAGGCTGTTCTCCTGAAGCGCTCGGGTGTGCCAGCAGCACTTGATGATCTCTGTGCTGCTTCCACTTGCTTCAAGTGTCCACTTCACACGAAGAAGATGTGATGGTTCGGGTTGAGGTTTAACAGGAATGTTCACGTGAAGAGCAGCATGTAGAATTTGGCCCTAAGTGTGGGAGTTCATTGCTCAGGACATTGCTTTACCACGGGTGCGACTCTGGGCAGCGCTCCAGCCACCCCGGGGTGAACTTGTTCCAGGATTGCCCTTCTTCCAAAGGCACTCGCTTTTACAACGTGCATTTATGGACACTGGGAAATCAGGCTGCTCTGTGCTGCATATTCCTATTTGCTGAGTTTTTCCAAGGCTTGGTTTTCAATCTGTAGCTGAGGTCCTCAGTGAATTTATGTACGTATGTATTTGTGTGTACACAATTATGTCTTTGTGTTGTACACAGTACAACACGGTTTTTCTCCATGGGGGAAATGCACATCGACCCAGGATGTAGCTCACAACAGCTCTTTGTACAAAAAAATCCTATTTTTTAATTCTGGTGTGAGTGGAAATACACTTTTTTTTCCCCAGTTCTTGAAATATTTCAGGTTTGATTGGGCCGTAGAAGGAATTGGAATGTGCTTGGAACAAACCCTTGAGTGGGAATGGAGCGGAGGCTCAGTTCTGCTCCCTTGGAAGCCAATGTTGAGACACCACATTATGCTCAGTTTTAGTCAACAGACTTGAATGAAGAGCAAAATCTGATCTCAGAAAATTACAGCATCTATTAAGTGGATTCAAGTATTTTGAGACAAGTACTCCATGGGACTGTTTCAGAATAAAATGAGTAATGGTACAGAGAAAATGGGTTTGCCATCAGTTCAGTGATTCTTTGATTGACCTCACTCACAAATTAACCGAACAATCTCTAAGACTTTTGATTTTAAAGACAAATTTGTTTAGCTCTAATGTCATTGGTGACCAACTAGCCAAGAAGATTACTAATGTAACCATTGCAAATTATTTGGAAATACTTTATTAGTATTATTTTTTCTCTTTGAGGGCAAGAATATGGAGGTCCCTTCCAACCCAGGGCATCTGTTCTTCTGTGATTGACAGGCTCTGACAACTGTGTTTCCTACAACTTCTTTAAAATGCCTTTTCCTTGATCCTTGCAGTTTCCCAGTTGTAAAATTCTCTCCTTATCACATTTTTATTCAGGTTGTTGGGGCAGTTTGGCAGATTTCTATGAAACCATTGACTTTGCTCAGAGAGCAAAGCACAGAGTTCCCCAGGAGGCTGCTGGGGTGACACTTGTAGGTTACTTTTGATCCCTGTGGAAGCATTTGGAAACACTTCCCTGTGGTGGCATTTTCTCTGCTAAATTGTTCAGTATTGTGTTTTTCAGGATGCTATCAGATGGATAATTTTTGTGGGAAAATGAGAGGAAAGGGCTCAAAGAGCAGAGCTGTAGGAATGCCCACATTCATGCTGGGTGGTCTCTGTAGGGTGGGTGCTGCATCAATCCTGATATTTTTGAATGTTAAGGTGTTGATCTGCAGTGTAGGGTTTTTAGGCATTATTTAGAGGTGTAGACATGCAAGACTCAGCTGCTGGGTACCTTAAAAAGAAGAGATATGAACAGAGGGCAGAGCAAATATAAAATATTCACAACCAAGTCCTATGTCCTGAATCTTTAATGTCCATTTACTTTACTTTTTCCACTAGAATTTTCTAAATCTCTCAAGAATATCCTATATGTTCTATGAATCCCGAAGAGATATTTCAGGTTAGCCAAGGAGTGACTCTCTCTGTACTTGGGAATTCCAACAAATGCCACTGCCTGTGGAGGAATATGCTGCCCATGGCATGTGGCACAGCAATTTGGCTTGTCCTTGGAGCACGGTGCCAGGGAGGGAGGTTCTCTGCAGTGGTCGGATTTTGCAGTAAGGCTTGAATGATTCCAAGCAGGAATTCCTGAATTGTGATAAACCACTTTTGGAATGGGAAAGACTTCATTTGTGCTGCTGCTTCTGGTGGCACTGCCATCCCTGCCAGTGGTGGTGGCTGTTGGCACCATTCCTGAGGAGGGACTCCTGTGACAGTAACTCTAAAAACCAACCAAACAACCAGAAAAAAGCTGAAGAAATGTTTGTGACTTTTTGTCCTGCAGGGACCTTATCTGAAGTCAATGACATTCCCCAAATGTTACAGTGGCATTAATATATGGCTTATGGGGCTTTTATGCATTTTTTTATTGCTTTCCTTTGCTTTTCCAGAGACAGTAGGTGGATTACACCTTAAAGAATTATAGGAATGTGTTTGTTGATCATTTTTTCAGGCTGTACTTGTTTAAAACTAAGTCAGTCCCAACAGTAACTGTCCTAAACTGAGTTTTATAGAAAGATACATAAACCTTTGGTTTTGTACTTGGTCTCTAAATTATTTTATGTGTTTAAATATATATACATAAAATGTCCATTATCTGAGTAACCCTTGAACTAAAGTCCATCTTTGAACTTTGGAGGCTTTGCAAATCAAAGTTTATTAATGGTTTGGGTTTGTGGGTTTTTTTCTGTTCTGTGATTGTTCAGTTTGTTTTTATCACTGGTACGACCAGAGAGAGGGAAACATTGCAGCATGAAAATTCTTATGACAGGACTTTCATTCTTGTGCTTCTTTTCTTTGGAGAGTGAAGGAGATCTGCTCCAAAGAGCACAGGAATTGCCACTCAGAGCTGAAATGTCTTCACTCTGCTGTGTCCTGAGAGTGCCCAGCACAGTCTGACTCAAAGGGAGATGCTAGAAATCCCCATTAGTGAGGTTTCAGGGCTGGATGGGACCAGCCAAGCTGCTCCACATGAGAAATCCTTGGGTCCTGCACTGCTGGAGCCACTGGCCCCATGTGCACTGGGAGCACTGAGAAAATTCATGTTGTGTTTCTTAGGGGAAAAACGAGCTTTACAAAAATTAGGTAATGGATGCTGATCACTTAAGTTTGTCTGTCTTTTTTTAGGGAACACATCCAGGTTTCTCTGGTGCTGTTGAATTGCCATGCAAGGGCAGGACTGATCAGTTGTCCCCAAAGCACTGCTGGAATAAATCTGTAGCTAAATGCATTCTTCTTAATCAGAGAGACATTTCCTGTGGCATCACTTCTGTTATGTTTTCTTGCAGTGACCCAAAACCCTGGCTGCTTTGGAAAGTGGATAGTATTGGCAAGCAAAGAAATATGGCAAGTAAAAAGTCTTTTTTAGATCCAGTTGATGTCAGTGTTTTCTTCAAAAAAAGGGCAAGCCCTGAGGGATCCTGAGAGGAGTCAAGGCACTGATTAAGGCAGAGAGTAATTGTTCAGTCCATGCTTAATTATCCCCTTCAGTTTTAAACCAATGAAGAATTGTGGATGTATCTAATTGATGTGTATATATATATATATATATATATATATTCCTCCTGTTAGCAGTGGGGGGCTGTGACACTGCAGCCATGGAGGCTGATGGAAGGAAAGGCAATGGTTAAGCTGTGACAAGTGGGAATTTTGCCAAGGCTGACAGTGAGAATGGCACCTGAAAGTCAAGTGCCTCTCACTGGCTTCGAGACAGACAATAACTACATGAAATTCTTGTTGCAAACCCTTGTTTTAGAGCAGGTAACAAATAGCTCCCAGCCCCTATTTTTCCTGCCTTTAGCCCAAGCTCTGACCAGCCTGCAGGTCGCTGGCATTGCCAGAATTGCTTTTACCTGTCTGCATGCACAGATCCTCCTTGGGCTGAGGACACACCCTGACCCCTCTGTTCGTGCCTGGAGTGGAGACCAACTGAAAACACAGTTCTCTCTGTTGGGTTTTTCTGTAGAGTGGTGTATTGCACCTCGAGACTTCCCTCTGCCCCGCCTGGAGTGCCCTCAGCTTGCTGGCAGCCTCGCCAGGTTGGCCGTGGTGGTGTCACAGGCCTTTGCCAACCAGAGCCAACCGGAGTCTGTCCAAGCCTTCAGAGCACAAAGCCCTGATAAGAAGGATCTCTAACAGGTACGCAACAGGGAGAAGGAGGAGATGTTCCTAAAATTAGTCGCTGTCAGCTCCAAGCAGGAGTGAGTGCCTCGTGTGTCACAGAAACGCTGAGTATGTGCTGTATATACTGTGTGTAAATCTAAGTATGTACCTAGAATTACACTATTGAAGTGTAAAATTCAATCTTTGCAAACTTCTGGGAGATTCAGGAATGTGGCTTGCTTTGGACTGTAATTAAAATGTGGGCATTTTGGTTAAAAATAGCTCCTTTCCGACCTACATTCCCGATGTAGGTCAGTGGAGGCACTTCTCAGACGTATTAGCATTTTGGACACTTAATCTTAGCAGCATATTGCCTCTCCTAGAATAGGTTAGGAGAGGCAAGGCAGGAGGAATTGCTGCATCTCGAGTCACCCAGAGAGGTTGCCAAGTTTCTCAGGCACCAAGAGGCAGAATAATGAGGATTATATTTAATTTGGGCTGGAGAGACAACCGTGGGGTGTTGAGCAGAGGCAGCTCAGATCATCTTGGCTCTGTGGGGGAGGGAGAATTTATAACTCTAGCTGGCTCCAAAGCAAGCTGTGTGTGCATTTGCGTGTGTATATATATTTATATATATGTATATACAAATCTGGATGTGTATATAACACCCTGTGTATATATGTATGTATGTATGTATATGCCTACAGTGTACAAAATGTGTATCTATAGAAATGTATACATTTATATGAATTTCTATTTCTCTATATAAATAGTCATGCAACTAAGGGAAATCACATTTCCATGGCGTGTCCTTTTCTGTAACACCCCCCCAAAAAGAAGCTGCTTCCATTGATGTCATATTGGAACAAACAACCTAAATTTTCTTTTCTGTTTAAAAAGGAGTGGTGCTTAGTGGCTGAGCACAAGCCTGGAAGGTTTTTACTCTTCCAGAGGACTTCCAGTAAATCATGAGCTGCTCCAGAGCTGTTCCATATTTGTGAAATAAAGGGGTGGCCAAAATGACTCAGGGCTGGTTTTATAGGCAAAGGAAAGGGGTTGCTGAGTGTGCATTGGAAACCTCTGCTATGCTCTCGGAGTTTTGATGGTGAAATATCTGCACTGCTAATTACTCTGGTTGCTGTTAATTTCCCAGCAATTGGCTTGAACAGGGGAAAAAAAATTCCTGCTCTAAAGTAAGTTATCTGAAGTCTGATTATGTTGCCTCAGTGATATATGGATTTCCATTTAGGGTCAGGATGTTGGGCTGTAAATCAAGAATCTGAGCTCAGTGAACATTTAGTTTGGGATGTGTCTTTTCTGTTCTAATTGATTTTAAATAATTTCAATTCATCATCAGAACGAGCTATACCTATACCTTAATTCATGATAAGCTCAAAGAATTTCTCATTCACATCAGGGTGAATTTTGCACTTGATTTCGGTGGGGTTGAACGAGGTCAGAGCGTTTCATTCAGCACTGGCATAAAAACAATCTTGTAGTTGTGCAACTATTAATTCAAATTGTAATTTTGTAATAAAAGCAGCCTAAAAATGATTTGCTAGTTACGTATTCTATGGTTATAGCACCTTTTTATGGATAAGATGTGTTGGAGTTGTTGCTGGTTTTGATTTTGTGTTGCTGATCCTTACTCTGGGTTTGGCCCCGGAGGCAGAAGCAGCTCAGCCCTTGGAATACAAGGCCATAACACGCTGCATTTGAAAGGAAAAGCTGCAGAGTACTGATCCCTCAGCATTCCTTGAGCTGTGTGCTCAGAGTGATGCCTGATTGCTGAATTCCACATGCATTGTGCAAATATTCCAAGAAATGTAGGTCATGGGAGCGTGGATTTGTCACGGGCATTTTGGCTCCCTGTGGCAGAGCCCTTGTCCAGTCCTGCAGAAAAACCTCCTTGTGCCTCCACCCTGACCATTCCCAGGCTGTCCTGGTCCTTGGAGCAGGGTGGAAATGTCCTTCTGCCGTCATTTGGAAGCTGGGATGTGATTAAGAAAGAAAAAAGGGAGAATGGATTATTCCTTCCTAAGCCCTTCACTTCCTTCAGGGAGAAGACAGAGAGACAAACATGAAATCATGGTGGAAATCAAAACAAACACCCAGAACATATGACATTGAGTGAAATGTTTCTCCTGAGCTTCTGGATTGTGCTTTGCTTTATTATTTCGTCTGGGGGAATTCAGCACTTTATGGGAAAGTGCTTCCCAATCTCTTTTGCATAAACAGTTACAGTGTTACAGTGAAACTTCTGTGATGTATAGCTGCCTGTTCAAGAAAATGGGTCATTTCCATACAAATGTCATATTTCTATGCAGAAAATATGCTGAATTCATATCCTATCTCCTAGTTAAAGCAATCCTTTTGCTGGTTTTGTGATTTCAGCATATTTGCCTGGCTGGAAACAGCCAGAAGAAGAGAAGAAAAAATTATTATTTTTTAATTAACTCATGCAGGCTTAATGTCAGACTAAGCACTTGAGTGCAGCATCTCTGGGGCACATACAGGAATATCATCCTCCAATGGCTAAATTTCAGCATATTTGCCTGGCTGGAAACAGCCAGAAGAAGAGAAGAAAAAATTATTATTTTTTAATTAACTCATGCAGGCTTAATGTCAGACTAAGCACTTGAGTGCAGCATCTCTGAGGCACATACAGGAATATCATTCTCCAATGGCTAATTTTTTTTTTTTTGAGCAGAGTGAACCACAAAGCTCAGAGAGCTGCTGCTTTGCTCAGAGTCTGGAGACTTGGGGAAAGAAGTTTTTCTGATGTGACTGTTAAAGAAGATGCCTGGATGTCCATGTCCTCAGGGGAGCAGCCCTTCACACAGGAACCCACAGGCTGAAGGCAGCAGGGGAGTGATGAGCTTTGCAAATCTCCTCACACTCTGCAGCAATCTCCTCCTCGCAGGATGAATTTCATCTAAAATGAACTTGAACTCCTGGCACTGCTGCTCAAAAGAAACAACAAACCCACGCTCCCTCTGGAAAGCTGAATTTTCCATGCCATTTTATATTTGGGAAAGGAACAGTGGATTTCAAGATGGGAGTTACAAACCGAGTGGATACTAGAGATGGACAACCAAAGAAATGCTGTGACCCAAAGCCTGCAGTGCCTGGTGTAAATCCTCAGAGCCCCACTGCTCCCAGCACAGCAGTGCTGCTGGCCTTGCTGCTCAGGTGACACAAGATGTTTGGCACCTGCTTCTGGAGCTTTCCAAACAGCCATTAGAATTTCTTGAAATAATTCAGATGAATCTACCCAACTTCTCAGCTCATGCGAGCTGCAGCCAGCAAAGTTCTTGGGCTGCTTCACTCTGTTGGAGGCATTTTTCTGCCTTTCACCCATGGGAATGTAAAGAAGTCACTGCTGTGGGATGGCCTTTGGTGGCAGAAGTGCCCCCAGGCCCCTGGCTAGGCTGTTAATTCACAAGGGGTTTTCAGGCTCCTGTTCAACCTCTGCACGAGCTTCTACACCCACCTAAAAGCTGCTCCTGTCCTTGTGTGCTGGAAAAAAAATCTCTAAGGAAATCTCCCTTTACCAAATCCTGCTTAAACCAAATAAAGATATTTCACAGTAATGATAAGGATAAAGCTCTATATAACACATTTTATTAATAAATCAGCAGGTATTGACCACCAAGGTCTTGTCTGGAGTATAAGACACAGCTGCCATTTTTTCCTCTGACAAAATACTTTCCTCCTCCTCCCCCTGGGAATCTCTTTGGCGCAGACTCATCCAACTTTGATGAGATACAATTTGTTCCCAAAGTAGCAAATGGGAAAGGAAGGGGATCCTAAGAGATTTGTGTCTCGAGGAGAGCAAAACGTTCCTAGGAAGAGGCTTCTCCCACCCACTTATCCCACCTGGAGCTTTGGGGAATTGTGTTATACCTAAACACCAAGATATTTAAAATTAATTAGAGTTTAACTGGAATTAAACTTCTGTTCCCAACTTCCTGTCTCCATGGGGAAGACAGTAAAAATTTCTTTTCTCATAAAAATATTATGAGTATAATGTGTGTTATTCAATGTCCAGATCCTCTATTTGATAGAACTTTGCAGGTATACAGAAAAAGGGAAAGTTTGTTACTGGTATTTCTTTCTATAGGAAGAGTTTTAAGAATTAAGTAAAAGTTAAACAAACAAGAAATTACATTATTAATATCAAAATAATTATTAGCATATCAAATAGTGCACTATGGTAATAAATCACT